TTCCACTCTGTATGTCAAGTCAAGGCCTAGTCTGTATCATCTCACGTCATGTTTCCACCCTGTATGTCCAGTCAAGGCCTAGTCTGTATCATCTCACGTCATGTTTCCACCCTGTATGTCACAGTCAAGGCCTAGTCTGTATCATCTCACGTCATGTTTCCACCCTGTATGTCCAGTCAAGGCCTAGTCTGTATCATCTCACGTCATGTTTCCACCCTGTATGTCCAGTCAAGGCCTAGTCTGTATCATCTCACGTCATGTTTCCACCCTGTATGTCCAGTCAAGGCCTAGTCTGTATCATCCCACGTCATGTTTCCACCCTGTATGTCATAGTAAAGGCCTAGTCTGTATCATCTCACGTCATGTTTCCACCCTGTATGTCAGTCAAGGCCTAGTCTGTATCATCCCACGTCATGTTTCCACCCTGTATGTCACAGTCAAGGCCTAGTCTGTTTCATCTCACGTCGTTTCCACTCTGTATGTCCAGTCGAAGGCCTAGTCTGTATCATCTCACGTCATGTTTCCACCCTGTATGTCCAGTCAAGGCCTAGTCTGTATCATCTCACGTCATGTTTCCACCCTGTATGTCCAGTCAAGGCCTAGTCTGTATCATCTCACGTCATGTTTCCACCCTGTATGTCCAGTCAAGGCCTAGTCTGTATCATCTCACGTCATGTTTCCACCCTGTATGTCCAGTCAAGGCCTAGTCTGTATCATCTCACGTCATGTTTCCACCCTGTATGTCCAGTCAAGGCCTAGTCTGTATCATCTCACGTCATGTTTCCACCCTGTATGTCACAGTCAAGGCCTAGTCTGTATCATCTCACGTCATGTTTCCACCCTGTATGTCCAGTCAAGGCCTAGTCTGTATCATCTCACGTCATGTTTCCACCCTGTATGTCACAGTCAAGGCCTAGTCTGTTTCATCTCACGTCATGTTTCCACCCTGTATGTCCAGTCAAGGCCTAGTCTGTATCATCTCACGTCATGTTTCCACCCTGTATGTCAAGTCAAGGCCTAGTCTGTATCATCTCACGTCATGTTTCCACCCTGTATGTCCAGTCAAGGCCTAGTCTGTATCATCTCACGTCATGTTTCCACCCTGTATGTCCAGTCAAGGCCTAGTCTGTATCATCTCACGTCATGTTTCCCCCCTGTATGTCCAGTCAAGGCCTAGTCTGTATCATCCCACGTCATGTTTCCACCCTGTATGTCACAGTCAAGGCCTAGTCTGTATCATCTCACGTCATGTTTCCACCCTGTATGTCACAGTCAAGGCCTAGTCTGTATCATCTCACGTCATGTTTCCACCCTGTATGTCCAGTCAAGGCCTAGTCTGTATCATCTCACGTCATGTTTCCACCCTGTATGTCCAGTCAAGGCCTAGTCTGTATCATCCCACGTCATGTTTCCACCCTGTATGTCATAGTCAAGGCCTAGTCTGTATCATCTCACGTCATGTTTCCACCCTGTATGTCAAGTCAAGGCCTAGTCTGTATCATCCCACGTCATGTTTCTATCCTGTATGTCACAGTCAAGGCCTAGTCTGTTTCATCTCACGTCGTTTCCACTCTGTATGTCCAGTCAAGGCCTAGTCTGTATCATCTCACGTCATGTTTCCACCCTGTATGTCCAGTCAAGGCCTAGTCTGTATCATCTCACGTCATGTTTCCACCCTGTATGTCCAGTCAAGGCCTAGTCTGTATCATCTCACGTCATGCTTCCACCCTGTATGTCCAGTCAAGGCCTAGTCTGCATCATCTCACGTCAGGTTTCCACCCTGTATGTCGTGTCAAGGCCTAGTCTGTATCATCTCACGTCATGTTTCCACCCTGTGTGTCCAGTCAAGGCCTAGTCTGTATCATATCGCGTCATGTTTCCACCCTGTATGTCACAGTCAAGGCCTGGTCTGTATCATCTCACGTCATGTTAACACCCTGTGTGTCCAGTCAAGGCCTAGTCTGTATCATCTCACGTCATGTTAACACCCTGTATGTCACAGTCAAGGCCTAGTCTGTTTCATCTCACGTCATGTTAACACCCTGTATGTCCAGTCAAGGCCTAGTCTGTTTCATCTCACGTCATGTTAACACCCTGTATGTCAAGTCAAGGCCTAGTCTGTATCATCTCACGTCATGTTTCCACCCTGTATGTCCAGTCAAGGCCTAGTCTGTATCATCTCACGTCATGTTTCCACCCTGTATGTCCAGTCAAGGCCTAGTCTGTATCATCTCAGGTCATGTTTCCACCCTGTATGTCCAGTCAAGGCCTAGTCTGTATCATCTCACGTCATGTTTCCCCCCTGTATGTCAAGTCAAGGCCTAGTCTGTATCATCTCACGTCATGTTTCCACCCTGTATGTCCAGTCAAGGCCTAGTCTGTATCATCTCACGTCATGTTTCCACCCTGTATGTCCAGTCAAGGCCTAGTCTGTATCATCTCACGTCATGTTTCCACCCTGACCACAGTGATTGTTTGATGATTATTATGATCAGACATATGTAACTGTTAGGTCTTTGAAAAATAAAAATCTCTTCCATATCTATACCTGTTGTAGCAAGTACACAGAATCAATACTACATCTGTGTGAGCGCTCATCGACATTACTCCCATGTCAGCTTGACACCCGTCAGTCTGTCCGCCATAGCCGTGGGGCGTGACAGATCACGTGACACTCTGATATGCCATGGTTTCAATGAAAATATCACGTGCGTGGAGTCAATATAGCACAGCGATACAGTGTTATATGCACCAGCAATGCTTCACTTCACACTGTCCCAGCAGCTGGATACATTAACGCGCCTTTCACAAAGTGTTCGAAAACCAGCGTTCACGGACCAGGACGTTCCGATTGTGACACGAGCATGTATAGCATGGTACTATTCAGCGTGTAATTTCTTCCTGCATGACGATAGCTATATATACCACGTCACATGACATGTCACGCGATGAAATCATGGATGACAGAAACATTTTTAGAAAAACGTTTCTATTTCCTGATAGATATGATTAATCATTGGTACTGTCATCTGTGACCCTCAAGAGATCGACTGTCCTCTGAGACTGGGTGTCAATTTGGCTTGTATCTCCCCCAGCAGGTGGATATAGTTCCTCGTCACTGGTTATCACTAAGGTAAGCCGAAATAATTACGCTGTGTGTGTGTAAGGAAACAACAGATATTATTGACAATCCCACCTTGCTATGAGGTCCCTGTCTCTTGTGTCTGTAATGGAAGGACTGATATCACTGACAGCCCCACAAATGTCCGTACTGGAAGGACTGATATCACTGACATCCCCACATGTGTCTGTAATGGAAGGACTGATATCACTGACAGCCCCACATGTGTCTGTAATGGAAGGACTGATATCTCTGACAGCCCCAAAAGTGTCTGTAATGGAAGGACTGATATCACTGACATCCCCACATGTGTCTGTACTGGAAGGACTGATATCACTGACAGCCCCACATGTGTCTGTAATGGAAGGACTGATATCACTGACAGCCTCACATGTGTCTGTAATGGAAGGACTGATATCACTGACAGCCTCACATGTGTCTGTAATGGAAGGACTGGTATCACTGACAGCCCCACATGTGTCTGTAATGGAAGGACTGATATCACTGACAGCCTCACATGTGTCTGTAATGGAAGGACTGATATCACTGACAGCCCCACCTTGCTATGAGGCCCCTGTCTATATATAATCATATTGCAGCTGACCTCCTGGTATAGAGACAAGGCATATGCGAATGTCAGTTACAGGATAACATCATACACTTCATCATGTTGTACTGCGCAGTGGGATCTGAATTATGGAGACTGGGTATTCTCTTGTGTTGACATGTTACTTGACATACCTGAGGAACACGTCAACGTACTACTACATACAGGAGCAGCGTCAGACCCTATAGTTTAGAGTGAGTGAGTGAGTTTAGTTTTACGCCGCTTTTAGCAATATTCCAGCAATATCACGATGGGGAACACAGAAATTGGCTTCATACATTGTACCCATGTGGCGATCGAACCCGGGCCCTCGGCGTGACGAGCGAACGCTTTAATCACTAGACTACCCAAGCGCCCCTATAGTTAAGATGATGTATAACACAATGTGTTGATCCTCATTATTGTCAATATATATACTAGGCGTCATTAATAAAGGGTCTAATGATATATAGCACACGTAAAGAAACATTTCTCAGAAATAATAGAACTAAGAGTGTCATCATAATGTGTTTAATGTGTTGACAAAGGTGATGCATCGTGACATACAGACAGACAGTTCAGACAGCACTATTAAATCAGTTGTTTAGACCAACCCACCCAAAATGAACATGACAAACATGAAGCACTCGGTCATTCAATATCTTATGTACTCTCCTCGTGCGTCCAATACACAGGTGCACCTTGTTCTCCTGCTCCTTATCAAGTTCATAAAGAAACCTTGCGGAATCGCATTCCATTCCTCTACTAGAGCTCCGCGGAGTCCTGGGAGATCCACTAGTGCTAGGTGACGTGTTAGACTAATGCTTAGTCTCTAAATAAATATAATTTTGATAGTAACAAACAGACCTATTATAAATTGAAAAGGAGACCCAGGGAGACCAGAGATTCAGAACCTGGGGAAATCTAGACTTGCTTCATTTAGGGCTTTAGCACTGCAGGGAAGGCTAGGCTGTGGGGAAAATAATGTGGTTCAGGGACTGTGAGACAGACTAGGTGACGTGTGTACACACGTCGACCGAGTTCATCCCAGGCACGCTCAATTGGGTTGAGGTCTGGCGAGCATGCTGGCCGCTCCATCCGCTCTACACCCTGCTGCCTAAGGAATTCCGTGACAATCCTGGCCCGATGAGGCCCATCATTGTCGTCTTACAGTAAAAAGGGTCGACCATAAAAGCCATGCATAGCTTGCAGGAATGGTACTGTTATAGGAGCCAAAATCTCGTCCCGATAACTCGTCCGGCAAGATTTCCGTCGACCACGTGCAGTGGAGTACGTCCAGTATGAGTTATCCCTGCCCAAACCATGAACGATAGTGAAAAAGCATCAACACATGTGTATTTTCCATGGATAGAGCGACTTGCACGTGTAAATCATTAACATTAAGTGGTAGGTGGATTTCCATATTGAGTATTTGAATAAGGAAGGTGCCATTTGTAACAGAATGTATCGGTCGTTAAAAAAACGTAATAATGACATGTCAACGGCCTGACGTGTTTTTCCATACTGTTACGAAAGTTCGTAATAGATTCAGTTGTATTTATTTCAAACAAAAACGAAGATTTTGAAACTTTCAAGAAATAGTGTTACCAATAGCTTGACCCTTCATTAATGACGCCGAGTATAATATTCATGACACTCTAGACCGACAAAGGACTTCGATATCTTTACAGATGATATCACTCGCAGCTAAGGCGTGAATGTCGATCCCGTGCAGTGAACGTGATAACACATGTGATAACACCAGCTACCGTTAAGCCACCAGCCTGACGAGAAACTTTACCCGACATCACCTGTACTATGTCAGACTACAAAATGTATGATAAATCTTATAAACGCATTGCTTAGTCACGCCTTTCTAGAAGTGAGACTGTTAAAGGGTTACAGATGCCAAAACGACCTTTTATGTCTAAGTTCATATAAATGAGACAACAATTCTGATACAGAAGGAAAACTATATAGCCTAAGAAAGATGGTTACTATGAATGCCTTGAAGAAGACTTAGCAGTCTGAATAATTCAAAGCGGTTTGCACCCTTGAAGATCCGGGTTAGAATAGATCTTCAGTAACCCATACTTCTCGTAAGACTCGACTAACGGGATCGGGTGGTCAGGCTCGCTGACTGGGTTGACACATGCCATTGTGTCCCAATTGTATCCCAATTCCCTGAATTATCTGGTCCAGAATCGATTATTTACAGACCGCCGCCATATAGCTGGAATATTGCTGAGTGCGGCGTAAAACTCAACTCACTCACTCACCCAAAGCGGTTTGGGCTTTTACTCACCACTTATGTATCAATTGTGAGACATACAAGACGTGAAATATCAACAGCTATTGCAAATTCAAAATCATCTAACTGTGCCAGACCAGATAACATTTTTCAGTAAGTTCTCACACCGAGATTCTATTGAGTGTTTTGATTTATATATGTACTAGTTTCAAGCCTCGCTGGTTATGTGTCATGTTTCTGCTACATGTAACTTTGTGACCGATATACAAGTGTTTTCAGTGGACCATATAAACCTATATGTAGCTGAAGCCCAAACTCCACAGATATCGTATCCTATTGCGACGTTACCAGCGCATCTTTTCAGTCAAAATTATAACGTTTCAAGATATTTACGTGGCTTTTAGGAAAATACCCCAAAAGCAGTAGACGCGCACCCTCCTGTGTACGTCAGTAGACATAATACATAAAGTGTGTGAGAGAGAGAGATATTGGCAGTTTGGGGGGCATGCTGATAAAACGCCGAAGGTCCAGCGGTATTGCACGGAGAGTATAATACAATCAATAACACCGTACAACAAAGGAGATTATTACATTCTGTTACATCTTGCTGTAATAGTATACAACCAGGTATTGACTTGGATGACAAGTTACCTGATAGTTTCGACTGTTCACTCGGTGTACGGCAGGGCTGTTCTCTATTATTACTTTATTTCTTTAATAAGTGGCATATCAGGCCGGAGCCTTGTCGGGTGCCAGAAATTCAACCCGACCTTGTACACATATTGTACTTTGTGCAGATGCTGCTGATTTGTTTCTGATAAGCTCTTTAATCTAAAATAACGTGTGTGTTGAAGGAGTTGTAAATGACACCAGTAAACTGTCAGCGTCGATGAGTTGAGGTGATAGTTGAAGATCAATGTCGTGCTTTACATATACCTAAGCATATATTTGCCTATGTGATATCTACAGCCATCGACATGCTTCTGTGATCCAACCGATATTTAAGTGTTCCCAGCAAGACACAAATTAAATCTTCTCAAGTCAACTAAAAACTTAAACCGTAATCAAGGAGATGTTTCCTTTTGAGCCTGCTTTGTTGTTGGTGAACAGCTATTGTGCCAGGGGATGCCCTAGACAAACACGTGGTTGTGCAGTTTGAGCCCTTTGCGCGTGCCAGGATCAGTAGTTCGTCATGGTCGGCCGTTGGTATGACAGCACGTATCTTTGAACTTGTACATATCTAACACCGGCTATTTGGGGTTTTCCGTCACCAGAAAAGTTGTGATACTAACCGGAATAAGTGTGAAAAGACTCGTTAAACTCACTGAACCTGTGGTGTCAAGGCTGAACCTGTGGTGTCAAGGCTAAACCTGTGGTGTCAAGGCTGAACCTGTGGTGTCAAGGCTGAACCTGTGGTGTCAAGGCTGAACCTGTGGTGTCAAGGCTAAACCTGTGGTGTCAAGGCTAAACCTGTGGTGTCAAAGCTGAACCTGTGGTGTCAAGGCTGAACCTGTGGTGTCAAGGCTAAACCTGTGGTGTCAAGGCTGAACCTGTGGTGTCAAGGCTGAACCTGTGGTGTCATGGCTAAACCTGTGGTGTCAAGGCTGAACCTGTGGTGTCAAGGCTAAACCTGTGGTGTCAAGGCTGAACCTGTGGTGTCAAGGCTAAACCTGTGGTGTCAAGACTGAACCTGTGGTGTTAAGCTGACACTTGTTCAAGTTCAAACTGTCAACTTGCATTCCACACTGCCTTTTAAAAGCAAGTTGACAATGTTTTATATTCACAATTTGAAAACTGAATACAAGAAAATCCTGGAATGTCCAACAGGTTCGACAGATTGTCGAGAGTGGGTGGAAGTGCTTCCATCGGGCTATTCCACATCCCTCCCTCAAATGTTTATCTGATTAACGCGAGAGATTGACGATGACGTTGACGGAATCGATCGCACAGGTCGTAACTGTCCTTCGATATGACCCGTGTTGTATGATCAAAACATGATTCGAGTGTCACTTTCCCGATCTGGTAGCGATACTCTAGTTGGTCGGATGAAAGATCTTTTTGACGTGACCCTTGATCTGATGTCCTCAGATATTTGTTAAGTAGAAGTGAGAGCTGTTGAGTGTATTGTGTCGCCGGTGTACACGTCGATCAGATACACAACACACCCACTGACTATCACTGAGCGAGGTATACATGTTATCCTTTTGTAATAAAAGGACGGATTCTGAAAGATAATTTGCTGCAGCGACCACTCTATCACTTCTGTAGTACTCCATCAGCGTTCACGTCCTCAACATGATTGTTTCCCCCCGGGCGGAGCGCGGAACACCGGGGACATGGAGCCCTCGTTCCTGGCTCTTCCATCACGGGGACAGAGATTAGAGTTCTGCTGTCGACCGGATACTGTCCAGAAATCCCTCAACGTATCAGAGATATACGGAAAATGGTTTTGTGAAAACTGTAGGCGATATAGAACTACAGCTCATGCAGCCTCATATTCAAGGAGAAGTGGTCAAACACTTGGTGACCACACATGTGACCACGGCTTGTAAATAATCACGTCTGGACCAGATAATCTAGTGATCGATATTACGAGCATCGATCTGCGCCACTGGGATACGATGACATCCAACCATCCGATACCGCTAGTCTCCTCTTAAGCTTACGAGAAGCATATTTTGCTGAAGACCACTTTCAACCCGTATTTGTACAGGTCATGTAAAACATGGACTGAATTAAAACCATTTTAAACATGTCTCCATTTTCCTGGACATTAATATATTCTATATCAAATTCACATTAAAGTTTTCTTTTCTTTTTGTCGATGTAATACCTTTGCGCATGGGAGATGTACAGATTTGGTCTATTTTGTGTGGTGATACCAGGAAAACTGCCCTTCTCCAGCACTGGCATCCTATCGTTTCCCTCTTGTCCATCAGTGCTGTTGGTTGGATCTGGAACTGTGTTTCTACAGACAATGACATTAATTAAGATAACGCCTTACAACTGACGAACGCTTTATGGTTGAACATGGCAGTCAGCCACGGTATTTAGTTGACAATGACATTAGGTTTCTTATTCACCCTGATATGAGATATCTTTTCCTTGTTGAGCGCAGGAGATTTGATGGCCAACTCTTGCTGTGCATGGCATTACGTGACGGTTCGTTGACCATAGCTTTTTTTCTTTGTTGCTTAATGCCACTCTCAGCAATATACCAGGTATATGAAGGAGATCTGTAAATAATTAAGTCTCGACCAGGCAATCCAGTGATTATCATCGTTAGCATCGATCTGCTCAACTGGGATGCAATGACATGCTTCAAACACGTCAGGAGACCCTGGCCATCCGAACCAGCATGGGAAGTTGACGACCAGTTGTAGCCCGGATCTTCACGGCTTTGCTGACACTGGCAATGGGTGACGGGTTCGTATTGAACAAGACGTTAGGTGACGGGTTCGTATTGAACAAGAAATTAGGTGACGGAGTTAGCATTGGACAAAAAGTTAGGTGACGGGTCTCGTATTGGACAAGAAGTTGGGTGACGGGTCACATATTGGACAAGAAGTTAGGTGACGGGTTCGTATTGAACAAGACGTTAGGTGACGGGTCTCGTATTGGACAAGAAGTTAGGTGACGGATTTAGTATTGGACAAGAAGTTAGGTGACGGATTTAGCATTGGACAAGAAGTTAGGTAACGGGTTCGTATTGGACAAAATGTTAGGTGACGGGTCTCGTATTGGACAAGAAGTTAGGTAACGGGTTCGTATACAAGAAGTTAGGTGACGGATCTCGTATTGGACAAAAAGTTAGGTGACGGGTCTCGTATTGGACAAGAAGTTAGGTGACGGGTCTCGTATTGGACAAGAAGTTAGGTGACGTATTGGACAAGATATTCGGTGATGGGTTTGTTGCTGAATGTGAGAGATTATGTCACGAGACTCGTGTTTAAAATCACATAAGGTGACATCGGGACTCTTGTTGAATATGACGGATTGGATGATGGGAATGCAATGGGATTCAAGAGACTGAAGGGACAGAACTGGTGATATTCCCATGCTGTGTATTGTTCAAAGACTCAAAGCTGCCACTATGCAGGCTCTGATTCCTCCAGCAGATGTCCTGAATGTGCTGATGACCGTTCCATGTCGATGTCGTGTGTTGCCACCCGATGTTGTAGGTGGTTGTTATGTAGGAAGTGTTTCAGTTTGGAACTGTCTTTGACGTCTACATGCAGGTCCATCCGGACTTTCGTGACATGACTATTGAAGTACCCTGGAAACACCTACTAGAGTCCTGGGGGCTCTGGTTCAGTTGTGTATATATGTACAGTAGATATACACTGACTGAAACCCTTTACCTTCATGCTGGCTGATAAGTGTGTTTTTTATGCAGGTCCACATTTCTCCATTAATATGCCTCGATCGGACAACACCAGCTATGAGGCTGACGGGGAAACACAGCGGCTCCTTCCAGACGGCAAGATGGCGGCCAAGAAGGCGTATGAGAAGTCAGTGAATGATTCGGGTTCTGAGAAGTCACGAAGCAAAACCAACGTGAAGTTTGGCGCCACCAAAGTGTTTGTGGTGATGTCCATCCTGATCTGCGAGTTGTGTGAGCGCCTGACGTACTACAGCATTGTCGCCAACCTCATCCTGTTCTGCACCAGCACCCTGAAGTACAGCAGTCCAGATGCAGCCACCATCAGTCTCGTCTTCTCAGGTCGGTCTGGGTCAACGGCACACGCATCGCACTTTCACAAACTCCACACACAAAGTCTTTTTTCACAATTCTTATATTAGTTTGGGAAAACACACACACACACAAACAAACAAAAAAACACACACATATACTACTATATATTCCACTGATACAATGAAAGATGCAATAATATTATTTATTGAATGCACCATGTCATTTAGGACATAATCAACTGCAGCATATGTTATCTCTGGGATTGCACCTCGGTAAAGTACATATTTTAGTATTCACTTTCGAATACCCGGGTGGGATTCAAATACAAAAGTATTAGAATCGGTACTTATAATACCAACTAACATATGTTGGGTGTAAACCATTAACGCATTCTGTGATGTAGATGCTTGCTGTTTGTATATGTGTCAATAGTATTCCTGCAAGTACCGGACAGGTTGCAGATAACTGTGGTGTTTTACTGTACTGTTGGTCTGTCTGAAACACACCTCATTCCTCCAGGTTGCAAATATTTGACAATGATTAAAGGTCTAGTTTACATATATTGTTTTATGTGCTCTCATATGTGAACGCCGAGAACGATCGTTATCTGACCTTCAGTGTCAGTGATGTGACCCCGCGCCTGTAGCAGATGATGCACTTCAGAGGGGTCACCAAGTGTCAACCCAATGTAGCTATGTGCTACACAGCAGGAGAGCTACAGATCAGGTGCAACTTTATGTTACATCATTTTTCCTGAATCCGTGAGTTAGTGAGTGAACGAACACGGCATGGTGCACAAACAAACAACTTATACCCAATCGTGGACTGATGACATCTAGATCGGTCACAAAGCGAAAGCGGGATCAGAACTAGGTGGCATCTCTCACTTCAACTTCCACCGCGCTAACACAAACTCAGCCCTGTACTTGTCTGACACTTTGTCACTTTGCAATGGCGTACTTTTCCAACGATCCAGCATGCCATTTTATATATATTTTGAAGATTTCCCTCATTTACTTTTCTCAGCTATAGTTAAATGTGTTTTGGAAAATACCATGTTGTATTGTGAGTCACTAACGCGTGCACACTCCATCTGCGCAGGTGTGGTGTACTTCATCCCCGTGGCCGGGGGCTACATCGCCGACGCCATGGCAGGTCGATACAACACCATCCTAGGAGCAGGCCTGATCTACCTCATAGGTGAGTTACGCAGCTGGCCCAGTGTGTCCTGGTCTGTCCTTGACGACCGGGCCCACTGTTTACACAGGTTATATCCCACAGCGTGACAGTACTCAAAACATCGTACGAATCATGCATTTCTCAAAATGTTAAAAACGTAATTGTGGGACATTGGTCCAAATGCACATGCATGATTGTGGCTAAAATACCGGTGTTAGACAGCACGCATGTAGTAACCACACACACACACACACACACACACACACACACACACACACACGCGCGCACACACTCACACGCGCACGCACACGCACACGCACACGCACACGGGACAAATCGGTATGGACAATATAGGGGCTTCACATTCACAGCTGGTTAGACCCTTCAACTGCAGCCAGATCACCATCGCCGGGCAAATTGATAAACCGCTACCAGCAAACTGGCCAGACCCAAGAGCGCCCAAGAACGGGACGATCAAAAGTCACGACACCGGCCGAAGACCGCTACATTCGGCAGATCCCCTTCAGGTGCAGATTCGTGACGGCGACAGCGCTAGGACACGCCATCGGCAGACGGACAGTCCTTGGACGTCTTGGCATGGCTGGTATACGAGGCCTTCCGCGGAATGGCCTTGACCCGTCTAAATCTTCAATGCAGATTGCAATGGACATGAACTGTGGGTCGGTGGCAGCGACGTGACTGAGAGAGAGTGCTCCTTACAGATGAAAGTCGATTCGATCGGTTCAGAACCAATAGCAGAGTTCGCCTTGTTCGATGTAAATGAGAGCGACTGGCGCCAAACAGCGTTCATGAAGTTAATCCGTTCATACTTTAAAAAGTGATAACTTTCTTTTGCCCGGTAGTGTATGTCCGTCTGTAATGTCTGTAATGACGTGGTGAAACTGTAGTGAAGTGCTTGACCTGGAATTGGGATCTAGTTTTGAAACTAGTGTTGTACGTGTGGTGATGAAGAACTTTAGGATGGTGCCGGACCTGGATCTGTGTCGGTGACCTGGACCCAGTCTTTAGGGTAGAGTTAGACCTCGAACCCGTTGTGTAGTGCTACAGTAGATCTCTTGTAAATTGCTCCACCACTAGTGAACTGTTGGTATAATTCTAGACCTGTAGTGTAGTGTTGGACCTGGCCCTACAGTGTTTCATCTGTGGTGTAGCCTAGGTGGGTGTGTCAGTATATACGTAGAGTAATCAGAGATCACTATATTGGCCAACAAGGTTCAATTTCATGTTTGTGTGGGGCAAGAACTTCTATAATCCCAAATGTTTAACACTGGTGATCGAACCCAATCTCACGGCTCCATTGCAGGTCTTGTGATGATCCCAGCCTCCGCCGTAGACTATAAAAGCATGTTCGGTAGGTCGGAGGATGGGTCGGCCTATGACATGTCACAGGTAAGTTGGAACATCGGGGGTACCTCAAGATATCGGGGGATGTATCAGTAGGATACTTCAATATATCAGTGGGTATATTCAAAGATTACTTTAACATATATGGGGATATATATATCGATGCATCTCGGAAGTTTGTCATGTAACGCAGGCATATTTGTCAAGTAGCCAGTCTTCTGAGGGACATAATTATATGGTGATATTCAGGAGTTAAGGGCTACTGATTGCAGACAAGCCAAGGGGGGAAATGTCTTAAAACTAGCCATCATAGTAGCCAACGACTGCTTAAATCTACAACGATTCTTACACTGCATAGTGTAATACCTGTTTCCTAAATCTGGAATTCATGAGAAACATGTATTTTGTGTGGCCTTATATGGTGAACTTTTAGCGTCTCGAAATCTCCAGATTATTTTAAAACGACCTTCGACTCCGAATCCTGCTTTCTGTAGGAGGCGAGACGAGGATTCTTCCTGGGAGGTCTGGCGTTTGTAGCTATCGGAACTGGTGGTATCAAGGCCAACGTCGGGCCCCTTCGGAGCCCAGCAGGTTGAGGGTCTTGGTGAAGCTGCCGTTCAGTCCTTCTTCAACTGGTAATAAATGATTGTACATTTAACAGCTTTTCCTTGGTATGTAATATATTTTAATGACAGTTTGTGATAGGGTAGCGTAATGGTTAAAGGGTTTGCCCTTGACAATGTCCTCCGCGTTGACATTGCCCAAAACACCACAAATATCGCCGCTGCGAGCACCCCACGTCCCTTCAACATTGACGGTGTTCATGACCCTGATGCCCACAGCATGCAGTCGTCTCATCACTGTGACTCCAGCGAGGTCAGCATCCGACTGTGCAGATGCTAAATGTGCAGGGGTGGTCATCTTGCAGGGATGTCATTCTCGATCCCCAAGTTCTGGGACCGTCAGATGTCTGACCAGTCTGGTTGACGCCTCTCACTTGTCTGATGATGGTCTGCCAATGGCAAATGGCCTCTGGATGTGTGGCTTTAACATGTATACCACTAACAGCCTTAATCGACTTGTTTATATAAAAGGATATCTGTGGCTTCTTGGAAACAGAGACATAATGCTTTTAACTTGTAAGTTACAATCAAAGCACTTTTTAAAATATTTACGTTGTTTATTTTTATAAAATCCCAAAACTCCACGTGTTTAGCTTGTTTTGTAAGTTAGTGTTCAGTTTCGCCATTTCCTAATCCTGTGGTTGCAAGTCGCAGTGGTTGTGAATCCCCCAGGCTGGTATATGGAATGTTTAGCCGCCGATCTGTGTTACAGGTTCTACTGGTTCATCAACGCCGGAGCTCTGGTCGCCTACTCTGGGGTAGCTTACCTTCAACAGAACTACAGCTGGGCCTGGGGCTTCTCCGTCCCTCTGTTCAGCATGATCCTGGCTCTCGTTGTATTTGTCCTGGCCAGAAGTCGATACGAGCACCTGCCTCCTGGAGGTCAGTAGATGCTAAGGAATCACTATCAAATAATGATATATCAAGTGATTGCTAAAAGGTCAGCGTATCCTGCTCACTGATGACGCCAGTCATGAACAGGGGGGCTTTATACTCTTGGGTTTGACAAAAAATTACAAACGTTATGAAAACGTGACAAGACTGAAACAGACGTTAGGCCTGTGATACTCGATTCAAATGCGTCCCCATTTCCTGTTTGTTTGTGTCAGGACACTCGAGTGTGCCATCCCGTATTTGTGCTGTAATCACGTCCTGCTGTCAGTGATGGCGCTTGCATTTATTACAGATGATCCATGTACTACAATTCTAGTGTGGACGTTTGAGCGTTCATATGTACCACGATTTATCGGAATAGTTCTACGCCGCGTTCAGCAATGTCCCGGCACAGTTGGGTACACCAGAAATTGGTTTTACGAAATATTCCATTTGGGTAATCGAATCCTGACCTTGACGAGCGAACGCCTCAGCCTCAAAGCTACCCCGCCGGTCTTGACGCTTATAGTCCACCCATTGTAGTTGATTCATGTGTATGTCTTGTCACATAGAACACATTTTGCATTTCCACATGACGCACAGTTATAATGAGGTGACTTCCGGGTTAGTCGTGCAGTAACAAGTGAGAGTTGTTTCAGAGAGCGTGCTGGCCACGGTGTTCAATGTGTGGCGTAAAGGCTGTGGCGACTTTGAGCGGGTGAAGAAGAGGAACGGCGGGACGATTAATGACGCGACTGTAGATGGCGCTGTCAGTGTGTTGAGAGTCATGCCTGTGTATCTACTCATGATCTTCTACTGGGCCATCTACTCCCAGGTACCCACACTTTGTACAATACTACCTGCCATTAGCCTAAAAATAGATATTAACCAAAGAATAACACATGACCCTGGCGTGAACGCTAAAATAGGACCTGACCTTGAACAAACCCCTCATACTAGACCCAGAATAGACCTAATATAAACTGTAGAATATAACTTAACACGTCACAATTTAATTCTGGACTCACAAAAGTCCAGAAACTCTCCGCACTGTGGGCACTTTCTGACAAGGGATTTGACCAAATTAAACATGCAGTTGTTATGAATATATGCCAAGGATGAAAAAATGAAAAAAAATGTTATCGAAAACTTGAAATTTAAACTCGAACAGTGGCCCATGGGCGAGAATGTTTAATTTCGATCAGAATTCATGTTTGGGAGGTTGTAAATGAATGAGTGTAAGCATCATGACACAAATTTCAACTCATTTTGACTTAATTCGACTAACTTAGAGCGATATTTAAAAATCTCACCCATGGGCGAAAAACATTTTGGCCCATGGGCGAGAATATTTACTTTTACTCAATATTTATGTTTTGGAGGTTGTAAATGAATGAGTGTATGTTTATAAGCATCATGACACAAATTTCAACTCATTTTGACTTAATTCGACTAACATAGGGTGATATTAAAAAATCTCGCTCATGGGCGAAAAAATATTTGGCCCATGGGCGAAAATATTAATTTCGATCAGAATTCATGTTTTGGAGGTTGTATGGGCGAGAATCATATTTACTTTAACTTACTTCGACTAATTTAGAGCGATTTCTCGCCCATGTTTTGCCCATGGGCGAGGTTGTAAAATGAATGAGTGTATATTTATAAGCATCATGACACAAATTTCAACTCATTTTGCCTTAATTCGACTAACTTAGGGCGATATTAAAAATCTCGCCCATGGGCGAAAATTATGTTGGCCCATGGGCGAGAATATTTACTTTTACTCAAAGTACATGTTTTTTCCATGTTTTGGAGGTTGTAAATGAATGAGTGTATACTTATGAGTATAATGAAACAAATTCAACTCATTTTGCCTTAATTCGACTAACGTAGGGCGATATTAAAAAATCTCGCCCATGGGCGAAAAACATTTTGGCCCATGGGCGAGAATATTGACTCTTACTCAAAATACATGTTTTTCCACGTTTTGAAGGTTGTAAATGAATGAGCGTATGTTTATAAACATCATGACACAAATTTCAATTCATTTTGACTTAATTCGGCTAATTTAGAGCGATATTAAAAAAATCTGCATTATTTACGGTAACATGGATTAGCTAATAGCGCATTGCCGGGAGACCCACATTCACACGATCACTCAACCATACCCATTTCCGGTTGAGCCACACCATTTTCAACTCTTGTTTTCTTAAAAGTGGCTTTCCCGGGCTATAACTATCAGCACACCCCAATCCGACCATCTGTCATTAATTAATTACCTGTCATTAGCTATCAGTTGTATTGAAAGCCCTCGCCTATTGTTTCATTATTTAATTGTTTCACGGATAGGTATGTAGTCACTCCAAATTCACCATATGTGCGTGACTGTCCTCTCCGACGTCCGCGCCCACCTCTCAACCTCGCTCAGCCTGCCTTGCCCCCCTCAATGCTCCCATACCACCCCTTCACCCCACCCACCCTAGAAGGACTTACATGGTCCCTTCATACGTTGGCGATTGTGCACAAATTTAGCCATCACTTAAAAACACAAGTATCCTACTATTATAAACCTGGTATATCTAAATTTACTTCGAATGTTTTGAGACTTACGTACCCTCTCAAGAAGACAAAACTGTGAAACCCGTGAAGGTCCGGGTTAGAATTCGCCTTCAGTAACCCATGCTTATCGTAAGAGGCGACTAACGGGATCGGGTGGTCAGGCTCGCTGGCTTGGTTGACACATGTCATCGGTTCCCTATTGCGCTGATCGATGCTCATGCTGTTGATCACTGGATTGTCTGGTCCAGACTCGATTATTTACAGACCGCTGCCATATATTTGGAATATTGCTGAGTGTGGCGTAAAACTAAACTCACTCATCCAACTGCTCAGATCGATGCTCATGCTGTTGATCACTGGATCGTCTCATCCAGACTCGATTATTTACAGACCGCCGCTATATAGCTGGAATATTGTTGAGTGCAGCCTAAAACTAAACTCACTCGCTCACTCACTCCAAACTGTGAAAATTAGGAACACCTCTAGCTACCAACAATGTCAACAAGAACATAATGGAGTCCCTGCATCAATACATCTTCAAGACTAAACGAATTGATAAATTATTCTAGACCAATATCTGTACACAAATAATGAAATGTAACTGCAAGTTCAAGGTTCCTAAGCACGTACAATGCACATTTACCCTACCTCATGTAATAATGTCTATCTCTGATTGATTCACGTGACCTTGAACAAATGGTGGACGGAAAAAAGTCATGGAAAAAAAGTCATAGAAAAAATAACTATTATAAAACATCATGTTCTCCAGTTATTTACTTTGTTTATACTATTTCACTTTCAAGTTAATTATTCCTTTAGAGTGACGCTGTAAGCAATTGGATCTTATCCAAACAGGAGAAATGAACAGATTATTATTTGTTTGGTTCTTAACGGATTGTGGGATTAAAAGTCACAAGTCACATGATTGTTTGTTTAACTAGCTTTGAGCTTGACGATATCAAACCAATTAATGAACTCATGGGATTATCAGTTAATGCTTTTTACTCAAATGGCTTCCTTCTAGCAGCTAATATAAGACACGCTGGCCGTAAGACTGTGATCCAAACTCTTCACGGCATTGGCTGGAACATTCGGTTAAATAAAATGTGCTAGGACAACTGACTGATGTAGTGCTGTTGCAGATGAAAGTGTTATGATGATAGTGCATTAACTGATGTCATGTATTTTATTTGAATGATTACATTAATTTTATAAGTTAGGTTCAAATGTGGTAGTGCTGCTGCTGATAATATTGTTATGACTTGTTACAATCCTGACCTTTTTTGAGTTTATGACTTTTTTCCTATGACTTTATTCCTACCCAATCTATGACTTTTTTCCATGACTTTTTTTCTACAACCGAACAAATTACAATGTATGCCGGGTGCACGGTTGTGCACTGCTTGGGTGGTGTTGTACAAATCATCAGGCAGAATACATCATTTATATCCCGCCCCATGGAAAAAAAACGGTATCTTCCCATAAGATAGACCTCCCAAAAGACAGACCGCTTAAAACAGCACATTTTATGGTTGGTTGCATAAGGCTTAATGAAGCTGTAACCTTGATAATATGCATCCACGGCAGTCAGTGAACCGTGAAGAAGTGGTTCAAATCGACTAGTCAGTACCATGTTAGTGAAATATATGACTGAATTTCATGCTATATTTACATGAAGAGAGATTTAAGATACTTTTGCCTAAGGTTATGTATTTATATGGTTTTATAAAAATCTTTCTATGATGTATATTTTGACCCTCTAGATAACAGTGTCTCATAAGCCTGTTAAGGCTGGATGTATGTAAAACATTATGTGTTTATTTTATATGAATTTTATATCTTGTTTACATACATGGGACACTTTAAAAACTATGTCTATCTGTCTGTCTGTCTTTAAACATTCGATAAGATAATTTCTGTTTACTATTGTGATGCGGCGTATTTTTGACGTCCCGTTTTATCCACCTAGCCGAAGGCGTCAGTGACAGTTTGCTACTACTTATGATAGGAATTAATTTGACGTTTTTGTGTATCCAGTTCTTGTGTATTCTGTTATATTATATATGTACCGGTGAGGTATTACCAAACCAGATTCTCAGAGAATATAAATATGTTTAAAGCATATGTTCAAGATTGAAATACAATATGAACATGCACACAATAGCAAAATTGAAAGGCACATCTTGCCAAACAAGGTTTTCAAGAGCATATACGCATAACTGTGCACGTCTTGAGAAAGGTCAAAGTTCCGATTCCAATCTCAGTAAACAGGGTTGTTCAATCACACATATATACACACCAATTTTGCATGACAAATAAGTTAATACACAAAAGAGAATTTAACACCATTTCGACATCTTATAATACAATCAATTCGAGATTTCCTTAGAATGTACGATATTTGGCTGCGCGATAAGAGCAGTCAGTCGTTTTGAAAAAACCCACACTCACGAGCACCTGTACATCTCACACCTAGCCCAGGGTGATCAATGGATTGTATATATGGAAAGCAAAATACACTTGAAAGTCGTGGCTGTTTAACTCCAATACACAAGACCAACGGATGGCACACAACGACTTTTTCGGCGCAAATTGTCGCAGGCGCTTTGCGGAAATTACGTAACTGAACGCGGAGACACACCAAACGTCATCGTTCCGCTCCGTGACCTCGTCTTTGCGAGCTACACTGATATACTCAACTGAGGTGAAACTCAGAATGATGAAATTGGAAATGAGGAAGAAACCAGCTAAATCAACATGTGGATGACAACACAATAACTTGAAAATCTCTCATGAATTCGTATGACAATGCAATATCTGTTGAGACCATGAGAATTTGAACAACGAAGAAAGTTATATGGATATACAACTTCTTTATTATAATGTAAGCGGCGTTTCGGCGGTGTACCCCCAACAGACAGCAGGGGTTACCTGGGATAAGAGGACACTCATGAATGAGCGTGCAGGGCATGTTGTTCCGTGTGTAATATGGTCCAGGGTATTTTGGCTGCCCATAAAATTGACGCTGTGACTTCATTCATTCATTTATTTCAATATACATATTATCATCATCAATAGTATTATGAAATACAACTATTAGGCAATATTAGCACTACCATCATGATACAAACATACATTATTACAAACTATCACATTATACACAATATCACAAGCATACATCATTATTCATAGTCCCACAAGGTGAGACACACCGTAAGCAAGTGGAGTCTCGACACCATCTTGCAACAGTCGCTCGTGCCTGTCTGACATGACTGA